AAACAAACGCAATAAAACTACGAATCACACCAACTGCTACAACTAGTATAATTGCATATGATCTAAAATGAGGGAGGGTGGGTATATGGGGTAATTAAAATGGAATTTAAAATACTCAGTTGAGTACGGAAGCGACTCGGAAAGTGAATTCATGGAAAACGAAGCATGACAGAGAGTTGAGGGACTTTCCAGTAACTAGACTTCTACCACAAGGTCTGGAAAGAAAATTAAAGCCTCAGCAAAATTTGATTTATGAATCTACTTCACTGCTCCTTGAAAATCTGTTGAGAATACTCTCGTGCTGTAGTAAAACGTGGAACAGCACCATCATCAAGTGAGAACATAACGTCCCTAGCTTCCACCTCGCCTACCCACCGTAATGAATCAAATCAGATTGAATCAATGATAACTGATTCGGAAGCCGCGGGTTTTGCCCATATCAATACGTCAACAATGTAGAAACCGCAAGTATGGATTTTATTTGAATGTGAATAAAGTCGACTTTGCAGTTTTGGTCATGTAATCAAGATAGGGGACAACAGCTCTTGTGGTCAATTTTAAGCAAAAGAACGGATGTAGTTTTTTCGAATCATTTAAACAGAGGTAAAAGGAAACTTATCATAGGTATGTGATTGTAATTGTCAAGTGAAGCGTGCTGCAAATTGACTAATCACCGTCGAGATTTATGTACATTTTAGCCTTGATCTGCTACGTGAATACGTTGGTTTTTGTAGACACTGTGAACTGATCGCGGAAGGGCACTGAGCTAATCGATTCTTATTATTGTTGCTATTTTGTTGAACTCCACTACAGCATATAGTTCATAAAGACTTCCAGACAGCTCGCACTGGAAAATAATGGCCGGCCTTGGTAATAGTATGAAGTAAGTAATGAGTGTGAAGAATTTGATTGGATTCTTATGTCACACCGAGTTCTTATTTGCGGCTAGCGTGATGTTTTCATCTTCTGAGAGAATGTTAGTTGTGTGGGACATAACAGATGAAGTGGGTTTCCCATCCACAGTTGATTCGACTTTGCTCCGTTCTGTTATCTAAAAGTAGAATTGTGCTGTTAAGTATTACGGAAATTAATGTATTTGTATTCAAATACATTAACTTTCGATTAACTTCGAAATCATTTGCTGCATAGGAAAGAGAACTTTGTTGAGGTAATATGTTCTTTGGGAGTTAATTCTTATAAAGAAATCCTGGCTTTAGTTCTCTCGGTCCTGATTTGGTGACGGTTGTTTAAACATGTTTTTGCAACATTTTGTTTTGCCTCGTACTCATTATTATGCAAATTACTCTTCGATAACCGGAAAAAATACTAGAAGCGATTGACTTCCTCAGGGAATACGGCTCTGCTCGGATCGTGCCCTCTATCACGTCCTCTTGAATGACTCACAAATTAAATTCTGTGACGATTTCAGTGTAACAAAGGTAAAATCAAATAACGAAAAAAGAGGCTGGAGTCCAAAATTCCAAACTGGGAGCTAACAAATTGGCTTAAACACGAAGACGCGCTATATAAGGAAGTCTTCCCTGGGAAGACCTAGGCTCATTTGTCACTCACCGTTGACGTGTGCGGGTCAAATTTAAATGATGGCCTTTCGGTTGAATTCTACACCAGATTTTGGGATCGTTTGGCTCCACATTTATGTCGAGTCTTAAATGCATGCTACCAAACCGGAGAGATGTGTGATTCCATGAAGATGAGCAAGACACGCGTTATTTTTAAGTAAGGAGATCGTAAGAATCTGAAAAATTGGCGTCCGATTTCACTCTTAAACGTTGATTAGAAGCTATGCTCAAAAGTTCTCTCTCTTCGACTCTCTAAAGTTCTGGAATATATCGTTGACCCTGATCAAACTTGCTTTGTGCCCGGACGCAAAATTACTTCAAACTTACAT